ACAGTAATGTAGTAGTAGTATTGGTTTTAGTAATATTACTAGTATGAATAAGATACTGTGTATTGATATCTGGGAAAACCATTTTAAATACTAGGTTTAGTTAAGCTGAATACAAGTCCATTGGTAACTGAATGAACAATAACTACAAATGTTACTGATGTTTGTCATACTCATAGCACCTGAATAGTAGTGAAGTATTACACCTACTAGTAGGAGAATGAAATAGGCACAGTTTATTTACTTAGAGCCATCATTCTCTGCTGAGTTTGTTTCTAATGTAGTGTAAATTGCAGATTAAAGATGGCTTGCAGTTAATAGATAATAATAAACCTTTATGAAAAGTACATGTGGAAAGCAGTGCATTTAAATGTTACTGTGTAATATCCAGGTCCAGAAAAGGGTCTTCTATCATTTAAAGGTGGAATATACAATGGCTTTTGATCACTTCCAGTATTTTACTGATTGGTATTTTATTTAAGTAACTTTCAATTGCATAGCTATAATAAATACAGTTACTAATATTCAGTAATGCTTTAGTTGACATAACTCTTTAATAAACTGTTCATTATTTTAGATGATAGCTTTTTCTGGTAGATTCATGCAGTCCAACAGACTCCATGCTTGAACCAACCCAATGGCATGTGGAGCCAAAAATTTTAATAACTGTAAAGGAGAATGAAGCTGAAACCATAACTAATATTGTGAATCAAATGGCAACACTTGAAAAACTATCTAGCATCTGTTGATGTGGTGTTTTGGTTATGACGAGTCATGCCAGTGGTATTGCTGCCATTGCATTTACCACAAGTTGGCACAAACTTGCTGTGACATCTTTGGTGATATTAAAGAAATACAAAAAGTGCTTAGCCTTACAAGAACCTTATGGCAGAGATTTAGTAAATCTCTCAAACAATCTGCTACAGTGATTAAAGTACAGCTAAATAAACCTATTCCCCAACATTCATAAGCAGGATTTTAGTAACCAAGAAATTGAAAAAAGTCTTGCAAAGCCTGATGGTTGAGTCAGTTGAAGTGATATATGGTGATTTCATTCTTTTGTTGCACACATTTCTGCTTCTCAGCCATAGTAGTGATATTGTAGTTGCAAGTCTTCTTTCATTTATGAGGAATGCTAAGTTCCTTGGTACTATTTATATATTATATGTAATTTTGCCCCTTTTGGCAACCTTAAAGAAATTTGTGTTTTAGCCAGATTAATCCTGTTTTTGAATATATCTTGAACTGTCTAGATGGTATGTCTACAACATCTTCATCAACACCTGTTGATATTTTTGTAAGAGATCTTCAGCCAGGGTGTAGAATGGAAGTAAAAGAAATGAAAATTAAGCATTTTACAATCAAAGTATGTTACTGCACATAAAGACAACATCCATAACAGATTTGATAATTCTACAGGAGTTCTTGGAGCTCTGGTAGTATATTTGATCCAAATAGGATTCTACAGCTTAATGAACTTGGCTTTAACCCTGTCACCATGGGTTTCCTTTACTGTGCATGACACAAGGTTTGAGTGTCTTACATTCAAAATTGTATTAAACTACTTTTTGTTTGTGTTATGCCAATTAGTATAGCATAAAATCTTAGCTAATAATCCATATTTTAATATTATGTAAGTTCTAAGTTTTTAATTCTACAAGGCAATATCAAAAGAAATCATAACATGCATGACACATTTTCTCTAGGTATCTTCTCTTCTCTATTTTATACACCACCCCTCTAAAAAGTATGAAATTAAACCTAAATTACTCACTATAAAATCAACATTGCTCATACAAACCATAATTTGTATAACCTTCAATTTTGTTTGGTTACAAAGCTATCAAATAAAAAATTAGACCTCATCTGTTACATCCTGTCTTTTAGGTTTTATTAATACTTCTCTCTTACTTTTAATTATTTATTACCTATAACCAATAGAAAGCCAATGTTTTCAGCTATTAAATGACGTATTGCATAATATTGTGTTCTGAACAGATAATCATCAGTTTCACTTAGAGTACAAGCTCTGGTTCTGTGGTAAAGCTAACGACTAGCTTGAATTTATTTGTAACAGCTATTGTTGCATAGTTAGAAAGCTAGAAAAAAATTGAAAGTTGGGGAAAATTTTCTAATTTTTGCATGTCTGTGTTCTTTGGTGCATTATTTAATTAAATAAAAATTTAGTGCATTACTATCATTAGTATAAAAAGTAGGGTTAAGTGTCATTGACAATCGACATTTTTGTGTTTATTCTTCATTTATTATTAAAAAGTAACTAAAATGTAAAAATAGGGATCTTTTTTGGTTAGTTTAGATTAAGTAAAATAAATAATAATATAATGAAAATGTTTCATGAGGCATGCACATGAGCAGCTCATAGTAGCTCGTGGGTAAAGATATACAAATGTAGTTTCATGTTACATTCTACAAAGAAAAAAAGGGTAAATTAGATTTATGTTAAATTTTTTTTTTTTTTCGATGGTTATGAGGTCCATCAAATTGACTGATACCATATTGAAACAGGGTTGAGAAAATAACAAATAAAATATAAGGTTTTCCAAAAAAAACGTTTGAAATATACTTAGGAGGTTTTAGAGATTACATAAATGAAATTTTAGATTTTTGAGATGAAGAAATGTATTTTTAATCTTAACATGAAAATCAATTTGCACATGGACTATTCAAATCAAAAACTCAATATATTCATGGACAAATCTTTATTTTAGTTTATCAAAAAGACTTATAATGTTAACTGAAAGACTGCCAAATTTTGTGAAGATATACACACTATATTGAAAGTTAAAAGTATTAAATATATAAAGACTTTAAATGAGTACAAAGAGGTCATGTGGTCAGTAAAATTGACTGCGCCTATGTTGGGAGAGTTACACAGTATGTTGAAGCAGACATTCTCATCTTGGCTGATATTGGCCTTGTTGTAGGAACAGAACAATGTGGCCAACTTAAAACAAAAATGGAGCAATTCAAACACACCCTGCTGAAATTCCAGATTAATTTATTTCATCCAATCACCCTGGTACACCTGTAAAGTGGGTGCTCAAAGAATTGCTGTAAATGTGTACATCCTATGGAGCATGGTGCTAGCACCATAAAAAAATTAAAACATTCCTCAGAAACAGGATAAAAATTGATGTGTTGAATTGTTTATTGAAAATTTCAGTCAATGGGCCTCCTGCTGATACTAAGGAATACCATACCATTATAAAAGAATCCATTGACCCTTTTCCTTCCATCAAAAAGAGGAGGAAACTTCCAGAACAGGAATCAGATAAACAAAACAAATATCATATTGCAATGACCAGTTGAAAGACAATGCTCCTGAGATGTGTTCTGTGTTAGTATAAACAGAAAATGACTGTTTAACCCTATTGCTACAGGTAGGGGTCAAAGGACATGTCATCATGTTTGTAGACTTGTGTTCAAAATTTTTTTGAACTACTATTTTATGAATATATGTCAATTAGTTTGGTATCAAATTGTAGATTATATTTCAAATTTTAGTACTTGAGATTAGTTAATTTCTTAATATAAAAGTAAATACCAAAAAATTGCAAAATATTGGTTTTTGTGTTGCATGGTGTGTTTGGGCAGATTACGTTTTACTATGTCTAAATACAAAGTCTGTAGTTTCTTACAAATTAAAAACTCATATTAACAATATTGACAAGCTAGAATGTAAAATAAGAACCTCCTATTTTTTCTATTTTCCGAGATATTGTTATATTTAGTAAATCAACCACTTCCATATTTGGAAATACATATTTACGTACATCTGTTTCGCTCTATGAGGTGTATATAACCAATCGAAAGCTCAGAATTTCCCCAACATGATTTTCTCAGCCTTTGCAAAGCATTTACTTGGGAAAACTTTCTTTTTCATTGTAGAATCAAAGTTCAGAAGTAAGAGAAAATGGTGCTCGAAATATTATATTTTTTAGACCCAAATACAGCTTAGTTGCTAAGCTTGATCAATTATAGTGAAATTCTGTGTTATTGATATAGTAATTTGATTTTTTGTTATTTCAAAATGCATATATAAACCTAAAAAAATTATTTCATTTTACATCCTCCACGTGTGAAATTTGACAAGGCTTAGCAAAGTATGGCAAGTGAGTACAAACTTCATAAGTAGAAGAGATTTTTTTCTCTACTTTTATGTTTTAAGAAAAATAACTTAAATTTGAGAATCTATTTTTAAATTGTTATAATATATATACTTATGTAATGTATTATAATTGAAATGTAATTGTATTTATAAAATACTGGTCTGCCAGGACAGAGCAAAGACAGTTATACTTTGAAAAGGCTTGTTTTATGCTAATGGATACGGTAACATGAGTGTACGTGTACGGTGTCATTACAACTTCTGTAATGTTAGTCAGACACGGATGAAAAGTCAATAAAATAAAAACAAATATATATAATGTATAGTGTTATGAGATTTAACCTATTTAAAATAAACATTTGTGGTTTTGTGCTTTAATTTGTAGTCATTCTAGAATGAAAAAAGCATAACTTATACCTATTTTTGAATTTTTTATGGTGGTTACAAGGTCGGTCAAACAAAATTTAAACTCATTGCTATGAAAATTAGCCTATTTGTATTTTCTACAATAAAATGTAATCAAAATTATCAATATGTGTTTGTTGTATGTTTGACTAAAAGCTTTGTGTAGAAAATGGGCTTAAAATTAAAATTTCAATGCCTGTTTAGGTAAAACTTTACATTGTAGCACATTTCTTTGCTATTTGCAAATTTATTTTCAAATTTGAAAACTTACCAGTCAGTAATCAAATTCATCAAATTGATTAGCATCCACTTCTAGTCATTTTACAAAAAGATAATTAATTTTTGAAATGTACATCAGTAAAATAAAAATATATTGAATATATGATAGTATTGTGTAGTTTTGTGTACCATAAAATTGAAAAAAATATTTGGGCATAATTCTAATGCAAACTTTGCATTTTTAAAATAGAAGGAGCCTATTATCATGATTCAGTCATGTGAAGAATGTGGAGCATCCTTCTCATCTAAAAATGCACTACTTGACCACCTTTCTGAGCACACAAGGATGAAACAACATCAGTGTCACGTCTGTAAGAAGTATTTCAGTCGCAAGTATCATCTTGACCGTCATCTACAGATGACCCCCTGTTCTGACCAACCTGTTCTAAGACACAGCTGTCAAGTATGTGGTAAAAGCTACACCCGCAAGGTATGTAAGTGAAGGATTTGTGTGTTTTAGCAGTAACTATGTGCTTTATAAGTTTGTAAAGGTATTTTTTGTCAGCTATGTGATTGAACATTGTTCCCTTGTATTAATGCCACTAAATATGCAGTTGTTCTGAAAGAAAGCCATCAGCTTTGGCACTTTTTAATCTTTTTTTTTCAATGGGTCTAGTCTGGATTACTTGAAAAATGGAAAGACAACTACACTGTGTTTCTACTACCCATTTACCACCTAGTCATTAGTTAATTCATACATAAATTTAGAAAAGAATACAGATATATTGATATTTTGGTAATTGCAAGGTGACTGTTGCAGACATGAATTGAGTCATAAAGCTTTATTTGGTAATGACTTTTCTTCAATTGATACAGTGAGGCAAAGTGCTAGTTTTCCATGTTTATAAACATTCTCATTTTAATAAAATCCACTTAGTTGTCAGTTTGTCATGAAATAGTTACAGATTTATTCTCCTCCTGCTTGTAAGGTAAAAATTCTGTCTTGTTCTACTACCTAGCAAAACGAAAAATTTTAATTTTTAAGGAAATATGTTATAAATATATGTGTAAAGCTCCACAAGGTGCCATAGCCACCACCAGTGAAATACTTTCCATCACTTCAACAGTGACCAACTTTGTCCAACTCTTAATTTTTACTTTTTTTCAAGTATTTTTGTTTCTTTCTTTCTTTCTTCCAGTTGACTGTGGGTTTGGGTTAGTACGTTCTAATTTCATTGTGTACTTATAAAACAAAAGTAACTTTCTATAGAAAACTCAGCCAAGAAAAATTGTTCTTTTGATTAATTTCAGATTAGTTTACAAGTTTTATAAATTCTGTTTAACTAAACTATGTGTGTATTTATCTTGTTTATGTAAAAGACTAAAATTAAAGTTTTTGTTGTTTTTTGAGGATTACTGAGCTGTGTGTCATGTGTTCCTTCCCTCCTTTGATGGAATGACCTTCATATGCAAAGTTGTTTTTATATGTTAAGAGAAGATTGAAAGTTAATAAATCTGGTTTATTCTCTTGTTGTCTTTATAACCTGCATTTTATCAAACTAGGAAGTTCAAAAATAGGTATTAATTACTAATTATTTCACAGTGTGAACTTTATAATTTGTGTTTTTAATTATTAACATGAATAAACAAACATAGAAAATTGTTTTTCACATAGTTAAAAATAATTTGATTCATATGTTTTTCAAGCTAATTCTTAATTATTTCTATGTGAAAAACAGTAGACAAAAGGAAAAAGTAAATTAATTTCTAGAATTTTTTACACCATGTTTGTATTTAGTGATTATTGCCATCACAGCATGAAATGATGAAATTGTTTTTGGTGTTTGGTACTTTGATGGCTTACCATGTAGAGAAAAGATGTGTAGTTATAATAATTTATTTCAGGGCAGGAAATCATGGCAGCAACTAAAATACACGGCCACAATAGCCACCCTTTGGCTGCTATGCCCTCATGATCTAAATTTGTATTGCCTACTGCAGTTAAGGGGAAACCATTGGGGATCACAAACACTAGACTTACAACCTACAGAAACTACTTTGTTACAAATAATATATCACATAAAATGTATGTAGTAGAGGGAGTGAAGTTTTCTCCTTGATTGGCAGTAAAACATTCATGCAGTTTGTTGAGTCATACCGTACTGCAGGATCTTAGTAGTAGTAGTAGTAAGCAATTCAAATTTCCGCTCAAACAACAAACCCGCAGATCTTACACAAAGATTCCCAGCAACAGCAGTACATGGCGATCAGTCAGCACGTATATACACTGGTCAGAGTGAAGTGTGCATCTGCAAATACTCCTTGCATTTAAACATATTGAAAAAAAAAGGAACAACTCAAGAGGGAAAATGCCATGAAATGTTTTTCTGTGGCAGCAAGTACCAGAAATTGGAAAAATTTTTTCATTGGTAAATATACAGATTACATCCTGATTTTTTAGAAAATGAAGGGAAATAGGATATGTCAATAATTCAGCTCAATAAATTTTATGCACAAACCCTAAAAGGCTTAGGCCTACTACATTAGCTAGCTGTGGTTAATGTTACTGAATTACAAGTATCGAGTTGCACATTGCAATGTATGATGAAGTGTGATTTATAGGTTATGACCATGTGCTACACTGTAGTGTAAGCCTAGTTTACTGTTTATCAGCACTATCCTACATTAGAAATTATGCAAAAAAATACTATGTGTAGTATTGTTTGGAAATAGAATGCTGACCTTATGTCATAGCAGTATGTCTTTCTGTCTGTCTGTCCATCAAGATTTTCAAAGGGCTGCTATTTGGAGACTGTGTAACTGATTTTCATCAACCTTGGTAAAGTAGTCAAACATGTTGTGGTTGAATTTTGTTGGTAGAAATTAGGCCTTTAAACTTCTCCCAGGAATTTTGTCTGATCATTCTCAAAATTAGACAACGTAATAAATAGGTAGAGGTGCATAAAAGTTGTATACAATTTTTAGGTCAAAAGTCATTTGGGGTCAGAAGGGGGCAAAGACTAGAAATCATATACAGCACTTGTTCTCATTATGTGTAAGTTTGATCTTTATCAAAGTTTGATAAATTAGTAAGTGGATAGAGATGTCTGAAATTTGTTCATGATTTGTAAGGTCACCAGAGGTCAAGTCCTGGAAACCTTTAAAATACTTCTCCCTCCAGGGATTTTGTTGGATCTTTTTCAAAGTTAGACAAATTAATAAGTGGAAAGAGTTGCCTAAAAGTTGTATACAATTTTCAGGTCAAATGTCATGTAGGGTCAGTAGGGGTCAAAAAGAAGGAATCTTATTAAGGTCATGAGACATTTTAGATCAGCATGATACCTGTTTCTTTATTGTTGAAGCTGATGTACTGTTATTTCATAATTCTCATTGGTTAAAGTTAATACTTACCTACCTGATAAACTTTATCTAGAAGGATAGGCCAGCTTCTCAAGCCCCTAATGAAAAAAATGAATCCCATATTTACTAAACTAATTAGGAAACTCATTTCTATTCCATTTACTGTGGCCTTAGTGCCCTCCAGTGAATTTTTTTTTTTTTTGCCTTAGTGCCCTTGAAAATGAGAGAAAATTCAAGGCCAAATGGCCTTGCCCTAAAGATGATGAATTTCCTGGCCTTTTATTTTGTACATTATTAATATTTATAGGTGTTAACCTAAATACCTAGGTGTTTGGTGATTCATTAAAATTATTGTGAGTTCACTGTTTTATTAAAACTGTCATTGGGTTTTTGAAAGTTGTTTTGGCAGCTATAAATGGTTGTACAATCAGTGCTCTGGCAAGTACACATCAAAGCATAAAGTGAGCCCAGAAACTTGCAGCATCTGAAGTCCAAACATTTTATACTTTGATTTGCCAGTAATTAAATTTGACATTTAGACTATCTTTTGTACACCCATTATTGGTTTGTTTCTGCTTTATTACTTGAAAACATTTGAAAAATCATATAATAGCCAAATACATTATTTGGGCAAACTCCATTGTATGTACTTTATTTTTCACCAGTATAACAACTTTGTCATTCTAGGTATATCTTTCTATAACATTTTGTTTTCTGTACAGCTATTGCCAGTACTTCAGATGAATACTGTATTTAAAACTAAGATAAAAAAATCTGTATTTTTCAGTAAGAACTAATAACATAATTGGAATTCATATATAGCACTGTTATTTAAATATGGGGCCCAGATTATATGATTTTTGCACCTTAATCTTGTGTAAGAGGTTTTAGTAAACTGGTAATTTTTTGCTCATTCCATTTAGCTTTGCATTAACATATATATAGTCAGTATCTGATTTAGTGTGTATGTGTATTGTTACATTTTTTTTACTAAATTTTATTGATGGTGGTAAGCTAATTTCAATCATAAAATCCTAACATTTTTATGAACAATGTAAAAGTAAGGTCACCTTAAAAATTATCTTATTAAACTTTGAACTTTTTTTTTGCCTTTTCTGTATATAGGAAAACCTTCGAGAACATCTCAGACAACATGCTGGAGAAGTTTCTCGTCGCAAGAAATACAAATGTGATTATTGTCAAAAACAGTTTCATGGTACTTCTTTGTTGACAATCCACATCAGGACTCATACAGGAGAGAAACCCTTCACATGTGAATTCTGTTCCAAAGCATTCCCATCAGTAGGTGCTCTGACAAAACACAGACGTATACACACTGGAGAAAAACCGTATGAATGTCCTGACTGTGGGCTCCGGTAAGATTAAAGTGGTTCATTTTCTTTAACTAGAAATACAGATGGGGTCATAATATGAGCCTCTTGGTTTTATAAACAGTTTTTCCAAGATGATACCTCACCTCTAGACACAGCTCTCTTCGCCAGCCTATGGTCTCTTCGGGTTCTCACCTACAGCCTATCTCTTCACCTCCTCCGCTTTTCCATTTTCTTTCCTCTTCCTTCTGTTACCTTTTACCTTCAGTATCTTGAGGTTGGGGTCTCAGATCTCTTGACCAACAATGCCTCTTAGAGATATTTACCCCCATACCTGGTTATTATTCTCATTTTTTTGTGATCCACAAGGAGGCTGGTGTCTGGTTATTGATCTCTTGTCTTTCTTAGTTTCTTATCATTCCTCTGTTCCTAATGGAGGGTTTCTTTTATTTCTGGTAATTCTTTTTGCTTTGACTGTGTATGACTGAAGTTCACATTTGGAACACCTTTTTATACATTGCAACTGCTTTTTCCTCCAGATGTTTTCTTGGTTTTGCCCATCCAGATCAATTTTTCCAGTTCTGTGCTCTTCCTTTTGGCATTGCATCTGCTCATTATGTTTTTATTCAAATCATGGGGGCATTTTCCACCTTGTTCACATATTGGGGTATGAGGTTCCATTATTACATAGATGAGTCCTTCTCTCACACCTGAGTTATTTTGTGGGAGACTGTGCCAGCCTGTCTGGTATTCCAAGTCTTTTCTCATGCCCACCCAATACTTGGTATGTTTGGGTGTGTTCTTCAGTTCCCATCTTAGTTGAGCTCAGCCTTCTCCACTTCATTTACAGGCAACAAAATGTCTTGTTATCAAGGTTTGTTCTTCTCTTTTACACCCTGTGCATGAGATTCTTTTACTTTTGCTAACTCTGACTTCCCTTGAACCACTCACTTTTTGAGGCCACATACACATACTTCTTCCAGTGGAAACTGCTGTACCAGTGGAACCTTTCTTATGATCTGTTTTCCTCAATTGTGCTCCTCCCTTTTCCTTTTTTTCAAGGATTTGTCTTGATGGATTGACCATATCAACTTCACTTTGGACATCCCATTGCTGTCCTCTTTCCTAACTGGATCTCCATCTCTTTATAGGTGCTTCTCTGTTGGACTATGTGGCATCTTTGAATGACTTCGACCTTTGGGTGTGTGGGCTCTGGAGGAGCATTCACTACACATCAATGTTCTTGAATTTTTCTGTGTTCTAGAATTCTTTGGTTCTATGTATTGGACCTGCTATTTTTGGCATATTCCCATCATGTTTGTATGATGGCCTTTCATGTGCCTGAGTCTCTGCCGAACAGAGTTCTAACCACAGATAGGTCTTCCTACTTTCAGGTTTTTGTTGGATTTAGTCTCAATTGAGCATGTCACTCTTGTGATCCCCAGTTCCTAATCCTTCAGCCCAGGTGGTCAATGCTTTCAGTCAGGATTGGTAGGATGTATGTCTTTGTCTTCTCCCTCGTGTCCTCGCTTTGATAAGTGACACTTATTGTCAAGTCTTTGGCTGGCACAACCTTCATTTCCTCTGCTTCATCAGTTGGCATCCAGGCCCCCACTTCCTCTGCCGTATTCTAACCACGACTCTTTTTCCACCCAGATGTGTTAATAGATATAACTCACTCATTGTCTTCATCTGGCTGTTTTGACTCCCTCCATTTGCTTTTCATCAATATAACTAAATATGGTCTTTGAGAATGATAAGTACATTTTCTTTTTCATTACCCTTCTCCATTTTATAGGATCCTGCCAGGTGGCTGATGTTGCCTGCTAGGGTATGCTTATTTCCATCAGACCAGGGATAATCAAAAGACCCCAACACATCTGGCCTGGCTCTACCAGTTAAGATGGGATGTTCCACAAGACCACCAGAGGAGAATCCTCCTGGTATTAAACTTAATTATTTGCTGATCCAGACTATACTATTCCATGGACTATCATGAAAAAAGCCGGCACCAAAGAAGTGACTGTTCACTTTTTTGGCTCAAGCTTGCCAACTTTTCAAAATAAGGTTTTACGGTTACTCTTTCCACTGTCTCCAGTAAAAGACCTTTCCGACAGGCGTCTATGGTGATCTAGGCACTTTTCTGGGTCTTTCCAATGAAAATTCTTTCCTTTATTCAAGTGGAGCACAAGATACCCTTTCCACTTACCAGTTCCTAGCTGCTGGGGTTGTGGACCTTGGAGAGTTCCTCACTGATTGTGTACAGTACAATACAGTGGGAAGTAGGGTAATGGTGGAACTGTCTGTGTATTACAGGTCAACCCTCAAACAACTTGTGTCCTCTCCTCTTGCAGTGGGACAGGTTTGACATACTTGTCTGTCCAATTGAGTCAGGGTGAGACACAGAGTATATCTGATCTTACCCTAACCACACTACACTTCTTGGCTTGCCAACATCTTGTGTGCAGGTTCTCAGTTCATCATGCAAAAAATTCTGCCCATCCATGTGATGCTCGTTTGCCTTTCTTCCTTCTGGATGAAGAGTATACCCTGGTCAAGATGAGATGCAGCCTCCCATGGGTGTGCCACTATGAAACCCCGCCATCGGGTATCAAAAATCATGGGGTGCCTTCTGAAGGGAGTTCATCTAGGTTTAATGTTTACACCACCATTTCAGTGTGGGTTTCTAGCTATTTTGTGTACGGAGGTGAGTATCATCTCGGAACTTAACATTTTCCTTACCTGAAAATGTATAATTTTGATAGGTAACTCACCTTCCACCTTTTGGTACACTTTCTTCTTACCTTGTCTAATATTGAAGTTATGTTGAATGCAAGTACTTAGGGGGAAGTTACTGCACAAAGAGATTGTGTCACTCTCCTACTGGTGGAAGGCTGTTGTTGCATGATGATGCCATCATTCACTAGTGCAGTTAATGTTGAACATGAATTTTAAGTGAGAGTTAGCTCAAAATTAGTACCATACAAGTATCATAGCCAGATGCACAAGGGGTATAGCTATTCTATCAAAAATATAGTTTGAAACAGCTTGAGTGGGTAGTGAGAAAAACTTTTATTACAAATATACAACATTTCAACAAGCTTATTTCTTCATCATTGTACCTAATGATAAGCTTGTTGGAACGTTGTATATTTGTAATAAAGTTTCTTTCACTACATTTGTTATTGTCTGTTGATATTCTTGTACTTGGAACTGTATTTCTTGAAATGGGCATTTATTGTTTTCAATTTTAAAAGAGGGTGAAAAAAGACTTGAATTAGACCTAATCAACAATATTTATAGTTGTTGATACTATATTTTTCTGTTCAGCTTTTTTTTTTGGTTTTTAACCAGTAAATAATCAAGAAGGCATCACTATTGTATATTGATCAGTAATTTATATGTACCAAACCACTGATCTGTTATGCTTGATGAATACAGGTCAGGATTTACTGAATCCTTCTTATAGTTTTAGTTTACAATTATTTGATTGGTTACGCTGCAAAAAAATCAAAAAATTGAAATTAGGCTCTTACATTTTTTCACCTTTTCAATATAATGTTATGGAATGATTAAAAATAAACTTAACTCACCACAAAATCTGTATACTGTGATATCAGTACAAAGTATGCTAATTCCATGTAGATAAGGCTTAAAAGTTAAGAAAATAATCTCTGAGAAATGATTTGTTTTCTTGTATAAGGTTTTTATTACATTTATCTTATATATTACAAGGTTTTGTGTCATTTAAAAAGAAATCATAAACACATTTCAATACAAGCTGTGTGTTAAGGCCTTAAACTTTTATATTCCATTATTTTTCTGTTGTATTTAAATCTTTGTCAACACTACACTTTTAAAATTAGGTACGGTTAGGTTAAGTAAAAGAACGAAAGATCATAATAAAAAATGTTCATGAGGTATGCTCGTGAGTAGCCTGTGCGTTACCTAATTCATTAGGGTAATGTGAGTTACATGTTTGCCAAGTGATTTACATCTTGTGTGGTGAAATTAGTAGTTAGAAGTGGATCAAAGGGTAATAAAACAATAAAATTAAGTATAAACATATGTATACTGTTACAATTTGAAGTCATTCTAGAAAGGAAAAGGAGTAATTTAAATGTACTTCTTTGGTTATGAGGTCAGTCAAATTAACCAACCTTGTATAGAGTTAGGATAGAAAAAATAACAGATAAAATATGAAGTTTTAGTGAAAAAAAATTGAAATTTACTTAGGAGGTTTTTATAGTTTACTTAAATGAAATTTGACAGTTTTCAGATGAAAAAAAGTATTTTTAATCTTAATATGAAAATTGCTTTCATGGAAAAATTTGTAGTGAAAATCATTAAAAATTTTGATCTTTTGTGTACAAGAGATTTAATGCTTACTGAAAGCTTGCAAAATTTTGTGACGATACACAAAAAACGATAAAAGTTATAATATAAAAACTACAAAGGTCAATTTTTGGTCATGAACTCAAGTGATTCAAATAAGTCTGTACCGAGAGTGTTAATGAGTTGATTTTATAATGTGTCATCAATGAAGACATCCTGATCTTATGATCATAATTGTTATTTAGAGGTAGTAACAGTTGGAAAGCTTGTCTAGCTTACTTAATCACTCTTTTTTTTTTCTTTGCAGATTTTCTTTAAAGGGAACCTTGAATCGTCACATTAGGGTTCACACAGGTGTTCGCCCTCACAGATGTCAGTATTGTGGAAAGCAGTTTATTCAGTCAGGTGGTCTCAAAGCCCACATGTTCTATCATACTGGTGACAATGGCTTTAAGTGTGAAGCTTGTGGAAAAATCTTCAATCGCAAAGCCCGGTTACAAATGCACGTCCGATATGTTCATGATAAAATCAAGCCTTTTGAATGCTCGGATTGTGGGAAATGCTTCACCCGTAAAGAAGATCTGACACGACATTTCACTCTGCACACAGGTGAGAAACCTCATCAGTGTCCAACGTGCTTGAAACGATTTGCCATTAAACCCTCTTTGAAGCTTCATCTGCTAACTCACACAAAAGAAGAACCACGATCCTGTCATGAATGTGGACGTGCTTTCATACGTAAAGACTGTCTTTTGCGTCACATGAGAAAGCGTCATCGTGATGTTTTAGATAAGATTCTGCTTGATGAAAAGGATCAGAAAAATAGTCCAGCTTCACCAGGTACACCATCAACTCGCACATTAAATGAAGAAACCCTTTGTTCCAACATTCGGGAACTTCTTAGTCTTCTGGTGGATGAACCAACCCTCAAGGGATTTGGATGGCCAGACAGGCCAGTAGCTGAACTGTTGGAGGCTGTCATTCGTCGTTGTGGCCACACCCCAGTAAATCCAGATGACTACACCTACATGGATTGTTTGCGGGAAAACTCCAAACTCCTTTTCACTGTTGTCATTGATGACAATGCTGTCAAGACCTTGCTCAATAACCAGACTGTGGATGAAGTGATATTGCATGTTTTGCGGCTTGCTAAATCCTAATTGCTGACCTGAGGTGGGAGATGTGGTAGTGCCTTAACTTTAGCACTGTTAAACATATATTATTGTTTTCAAGGCATTCCATTTGATAAGTAGTTTGACAGGTTTTACTATTACGTGCCTTCATTTCATAGCTGTTGAGAAGTTTAATAATGGCGTTACTTTTAATATAAACTGTCTCATACTTAAATGTGAAATATACTATTATCTCCAGTAACATACAAAAATTAACATATTCAGGTTAAACCTTTATTGAACTTTCTTTTAAAGGATTTGATTTTTCAATTTTAGACACTGAGAAACACTCAAATTCATATGGTATCTCTCTCAAGCAAACTTTCTCTGTTTACTCTCTTTATTTTTCAAAGACTTCACGTAAGTTGTCGAGAATAATAAACATAGGTTAGAAAAAAAAGCGTGGTCCTAACATCTCACAGGTTTTTACAGTAAATGTGCCTTATTATTGTCTTCCAGCAACATAGAAATATACAACTGTTCAGAGAGTAGTGGAGCAGTAAGTGGGTGCGTAAGAAAGCTGCAGGTCACATAATAGTGCTTAGGCCATTAATTATTGTTATATATTTTGATATATTCTTTTTCAGTATTTAGTAACATGAATTTTGTGTAGAATAATTAATGGCCATTTAAATGTATTTTTGTCAGTAATTATCTTTTTTCAAACCTTGTGCTTAATTGTTTGTAGCTATGTGTTTATTGTAGAAATTATTTTTTTCAGTCCTTGTAGCTACTTGTAGTATGCTGCTTTTCTAAGTTTTATTCTGTGAGAGCATTAACTTGTTTAATGTATTTAGTAGATTTACTGTATAAGTGGAAATAAAGTGCATCTGCTGGTGTACCATTTATATTCTCATTCAAATAGTATGTTTTTGAGATCATAATTAGATGTACTGAAGTAGCAGTTGACATATATTTTGTAAATGCATGCTTTTTTTGTGGATTTTTTAATGAGTGGAAAGTCCTTTTTTTGTAAGACTTCTGCTGTTTAACTGTGTGTTTCCAGTAAAGGAGATTACGTATTTTTCTATTTTGTATACTCTTACATGTCATAATCTCTTCACAATTTTAAAATAATCTCGTACATACCTAACTTCTAATACTGTTTTTGGGTTCATAGATTGTTAGGGACTTGTACGTATGGTGCTTTATCACATAAAAAAACTTCATCTCAATTCTTTTAACTAAAACTCCTGTTTGTTGTGCAAGAAATTAAGAAAAAACAAATTAAGAGCATGGTCTTAATATCCTTTTGCTGTTAAATCAATAATGGATGATGGGACTGAATGTAGCCCCATTTTTTTCCACCATAGTTTATATAATTGTCAATTGTATAATTGATTTTGGGTAGATTTAGATTTTTTAATTAACAAATTTTACATTTTTTTCTTCTAATATTTCATAAAATCTGTATGAATATATTTTATTTGAACTTGTGATGAGATACTTGTTGAAAGTTTCTTGGTATGATGGTGTAATGCATTAATTTTTATTTTGTAAACCAGCCAAAGCTTGATGGATTAATATGTGAGTAAATGAATCCGATTGTGCTCTCACTATTACTGAAGTGTAGTTTGTATACCAGTGTAGTCTGATAAGTGGAATGTATTTAACACTGATTATAATAGGAATATGCAATCAAATACTTAAGTGAATTTGAAAGGAATTTACGTGCTAATTTTGTGTTTGTAATTGGTTGCCTCCAACAGATCCTGATTGATCCAAATGGTGAGTGGACATTATGTGATCTATCACTGTTGTGATTGGGTAAAATGGTCTTGTGTTTAACAAGTAATAAATTATTACAAAATTTTCAATAAAAGTAGATAATATGATTTAGTTTCTTATCGTTAACTTTTTAATGAATGTAAAAACTGGCCTAACAGTAAAATTAACCATTAGTAAAAGATAAACATCAAAGAGGAAAGATACTGAAGCCATGTGACCTAATCAGCTAAGGGATTTCTAGCATCATACCAGTTGTATGCCCTTACTTTTGGCCCAAACTAATGTGTTCTGTACAGGTAACATTTTCTTGTATTGGAAAGCATGAAACTTTAGAAGACAAATAGGTGTAAAGTGAAAATGACAAGTCTTTAAATTTATTTAGTAGAGAGAATTTGTGGTCCTGAATAATGATAATGTTTTTCTCACACACATTTATATAAACACAGTTCATCCATATACTTGTATCATGTAAGCATTACTGTTGGGTTCATCTAAGCTGAATCACCTTGATGTTGCTCATCACAGAAGAGAATTTGTGTAGCAAGAAATCATTTAGTTTTATCATACTCCTAATTAATTAAAACAAGAAATTTATAATGATAATAAAACAGTAATTATAAAGAACATATATTAAAAGATTAAAGAGATTATAAAAGCTATTAGGTTAGCAAACAAAATGACAAAAGTCTTATCAAACCAACAAAGCAATCTTAGAGCCAGTTTTACTTTGGAGCTGACAAAAAAGTGGACTTTTTGTGTTCTCATTTGGGATGATCAGTATTGCTTTTAAGTATACTTATTTGATTATTAAACTTGATCACATTATGTTCATTGGTAGACTTGCATTCAGTCATTTTAAAGATCCATGCATGGATTTGTGATACCTGTGGATCTACACTACAGTCTGCTGTTTAACATGGGCCTCTCTTTCACAGATTCACATCACATCCACATAAAACGATCTTTACAGGAACACCTGAAACTTTTCAACTCCTTTACAGAGAATTAGTTTTATAAAGACTAAGCCATTAACTCTAATTTACAAGAGGTCAGATTCAATTAATAATCAAGTACAAACTTGTTATTAAGATTAATGTCTCCTTGGTAATGTAGACAGTTTTGTGTGCTTATCACACTATAGAATTAATTGTATTTAGAAAGACGATACTATTCTTAGCTAGTACCAAAGAAAATACTACTACAGAATGTATGTGGAAAACGAATGTAATGAATCCAAATTTTACAGGTAAGGTGTTACTTCTACTTTTCTTAAGTGGATAAAGTATACATGGTTTAAATACTTACCCAGAGGTTTGCATATCACTAGTTGGAAGTTAATAAAGAGATGTAAAATCATGGTGGAATAAAAAAGAAAGAAATATATGAAAACTTTTATCAGTAACCACTACTGAGATATATATATATATGTATTATGTAACAAAAAAGAAATAAGATTTAAGATACCTAAACTGTTAATGCATTGTTATGGAATAATCTGCATAAAACTTTTGGTGTATTCTGCTTTTTATCAAATAATTTGTGTATGTTTTATGTAGCCACTTGTATACGTACACAACATTTAATTAGGTCTACATGTGCTCTGTTGTTGGTATTTACAACTGTAGTTAATTGCATGTATTAAGGTATTTTGTCTCTGAGTAACACTGGAAATTTTGTAATTAAGGAAATGAATAAATAGAATTAGGTATGTTGAGAATAAAGCTTCGTACATGGAAACTGAAAGTACATGTTATAGACAGCTAAGTCCTTAATAGTAGATGATTTGTGAAAACAATGTTGTGAAATGCATGCAATTTATTTCAGATTAAAATCATAACTTTAAAATGTTTCAACATTGCATTTGGTATGAGAAATAACTCGTGTGCTAGGACATCAGACTGAATCATGTAGAGAAAAGTGATAATTTTGTCTATTGAGTAAACTTTTTTGTGGTTTTATAAATGGAAGAAGTGTAGAACTCATCAATCAAAACAAGTATTTGCAGCTGAATAAAATTAAGTTTTGATTTTTTTTCTTTAGGGTGTGAATAAAATTTATGATTAACACAAAAAATAAAATGTGTAAAAGTCCAGTATTTAATAAGATAGCATGATAATTTTCTGTTAGAAGTAATTAAATTTATAAGAACTTTTATTGTTTGTCAGTTTTGTGCTGCACCAATCATTCAGTCTGCCAAGTTTACAGTGTATATCTGTTGTGTTTAAACTATGAGATTGTTGAAACATTTTTTTATGTTTAGTGAAATGTACTTTTGTGCCTTAAGTTTAAGCTCTCACATGCAATAATATTCTCCTAGTTTCACTGTTTTCAAATATTCTCTAAGTAAACATAAGAACAGGAGAATGCACATTGGACACCTTTATTTTGGCTAATTGTTATTATTTGAGTAATTCATAACAAGTGTGCTTAATTATTTTGTTTCTGAAGATACACATGGTTTGTTACTCTTTTTTTGTTAGTTACTACAATGTGAATTTCATTATAGCTAGATTTTTCACATTATATGAAATTTTCAGTTTATTTTTCTTTTGCTTGTGTATTGTGTTTTCTGATTTTATATATGCATACTTTTTATCTGGACTTTAAGTTGTTTTTTTTTCTCAAAATGCATATGAGGTGGTGATTGTAAATGATTTTTGAATTAAATGACCAGTTTATTTTAAACTACAAGTATTTATGTCTGAAACTATTTATACCATACCTTATATGAGCTCAACTGTCCTTCAGTTAAGCAGAATACTTACAAAAATTAATAGATTATTTACTTTCAAAACTGAAAGCTAGTTTTTTCAAACTCTAGTTCTGGCAAGTTGTATTTCTTTCCACTTGTCATTAGAAATGTATAAATAAGTTACAAAATTTGTAACATAAGCTAATGAGTTTTTGCAAGTAAAAAATGTTTGGATAGACTGTTGTATCCTGAAATGAGTAATGATATCGTCAAAAGAAAGTAATTTTTTCTGATCTTGCAAGAGAAGCTAAGACCAGTATTGGTGTAAGAAAAGCTAGATTTAAACTCTAAAACTGGTTATATACAATGTGTCATCTGTATTACTTCTTTTTATGGTTATTAATAATGATCCTGTTCTCTACATTAACATACTGATCAAACCAAATTAAATATCCAATTACTTTGTGAAATTTCAGTCATTGTTATAAGGCCCAGACTTCTTTCACCTTAATCAAGAAACATAGTCAGGAAATGGCTGCTTCTGTTGTTTGTAAAAGCAGTGATGACGTGGAGGACTAGAAAGTGCATAAAGACTCATCTAATGTAAAAGAAATCAATGAATTGTTATTTCTGCAAGACTGTTCAGATGAGAGATACAAACTAGAAGGAAAGTAAGACATCAAAAACGGGAAAAAAACAGAGTAGGGATTTGATATTTAACAGTGAATTTTAAAAAAATACTTTTAAACTCGGCTTAAATAGCAGAGAAGGGACTTGATATTTAACAGTGAATTTTAAAAAAATACTTTTAAACTCGGCTTAAATAGCAGAGAAGGGACTTGATATTTAACAGTGAATTTTAAAACTACTTTTAACTCGGCTTAAATAGCAGAGTAGGGATTTGATAATTAACAGTGAATTTTAAAACTACTTTTAAACTCGACTTAAGTAGCAGAGTAGGGATTTGATATTTAACAGTGAATCTTAAAAAAATACTTTTAAACTCGGCTTAAATAGAGAAGGTACTTGATATTTAACAGTGAATCTTAAAAATACTTTTAAACTCGGCTTAAATAGCAGAGAATGGACTTGATATTTAACAGTGAATTTTAAAACTACTTTTAAACTCGGCTTAGATAGCAGAAAAGGGACTTGATATATAACAGTGAATCTTAAAAAATACTTTTAAACTCGGCTTAAATGGCAGATTATGGATTTGATATTTAACAGTGAATTTAAAACTACTTTTAAACTCTGCTTTAATACACCTAAGCTCAAACAGAAAAAGACCCTAAGGGGATAATCGAGATGTAGTCTCTTATACCTGTTTTACAGTGTGAAGTATAACTTGAAGACAGTTTAATTGGCTGATAACAAACATTGTTTAATAATTTTAGTACATATTTTACGACAGCAGGGGTCACGTGACGAGTATTCTAGAAGATTCGCGATAAACGTTAGTGTGTTATGACAGCAGAAGTCAAGTGACGCTTGTAGAACGTGTTGAGTGCCTAGAAAGTTCTAGAGAGACAGTATTATCGTATGTAAGTGCGCTAGACAAGAGAAGCAGAGAGAGAGAGTGGGGAACCAAGGACAGCAGTTACGGTCGGCTGCGACCGAGAATAGCAGATACAGAGATCGAAACTATAGTTGCTAACAGGCGGAGATAGAGACGGACAATTGAGTCAAGCGCGGTAGAAAGTGAGTTAATTGTTGTGAACTATAGTGTGTGTAACTGTGAAAATTAAGTGTATTGAGGAAGAATAAACAAGTTTTATTTAAGAAAGGACTTGTATTGTAGAAAAATTAACAAACAAACATACAGAGACGAAACAAATTGGTGTCAGGAGTGGGATAGAAAGTATAAAAAAAAGAAGATGGAAACGAGAGGCGGCAAATCAAACTACAGATTTGATGGCAGCAATACAAGAACAGCAAAAGAAACAAGAAGAGAGACAACAGCAGTTGCAAGAAAACCTGCAACAGTGGCAGCTCAAACAACAAAATAAACAAGAAGAGAGATTACAGCAGTTGTTGGAGGAAAAAGAAAATAAACAAGAAGAGAAATTACAGCAATTGTTGGAGGAAAAAGAAACAAGAAGAGAGACTACAGCAGTGGTTGGAGAAGAAAGAAAATAAACAAGAAGAGAGACTACAGCAATGGTAACTGGAACAAGAAAGGAAACAGGAAGAAAGTCAGAAGCAACTACAGGAAAGTCAACAACAGTGGCAAGAAGTACAAATGGAAAATATTAGTAAATTGAAAAGCTAATTAGTTACATTAAAGGATGATTTATTGTCTTTTACACAAGGAGGACACATTAACCATCGAATTAATCAGCTCCAGACAATGGCAAGCCCCTTCCAGACCCTGCAGCTAAACCCTAATGCTGACATCTTCAGTCCTGTTAGAAGTCACATCCCAGATATGAATGTCAGTAATACGGGTGATCCAGTACGTAGGAAGCCACAGGAATTCGGTGGGAAGCGTATAGAGCACAATTTGAGCTCCTGGCACAGATGAATGGGTGGACAGAGGAGCAGAAAGCAGTATATCTGGCAACGAGCTTCAAAGGACAACCACTGGAAATACTTGGACAGTTGTCAGCAGACGACAGGCACAACTATAGAGCACTGGTAGTGGCTCTAGAACTCGGGTATGGAATCCAAAATCAGTCTGAAGTCTACAGGGCTAAGTGTAGGACCATAGTCCATGCTAAAGGGGAGAGTCTGCAAGAGCTGGCACAGGACTTGGAAAGTATGACACACAAGGCCTACCCAACTGCATCACCCGATTTCTTCAAATTGTTGCTGAGAGATCAGTTTGTAGACGCTTTGGACAGTCCACGAGTGAAACAAACACACCCCTCTACCATGCAGGATGCAATGGCCAGAGCTCTCGAATTTGAATCCTATGTTAAGTCCAGCACTGAGGTACCAAGGTTGGTACAGTCATCTGGATTCAAGGCCAGAAAAGGTCAGCTTTCAGAGAAGTTTGAGGGACTTTGCTGGTGCTGTAACAAACCTGGGCACAAGAGAGCTCAATGCTGGCAACTTCAGCACAAGGGAGATGCCACAGCAGGAAAGGCTGCTACCCAGAATGGTTGTTGGAACTGTGGAGAGCAGGGACATACGAGGAGCCAGTGTAAGAGAATACCACCAATAAGTCAGCTTTGGGAAACCAGTAATGGTTGGTGCTGAGGGATGCCCACCAACCTCAATCGTGAAAGTCTCAACAGCTAAGTATAAAATGGCAAGCACACATAATGTCTACATGACAGGGAAGTTGAATGGCCAAAGGTGTAACTTTGTCATAGATTCTGCATCTCAGCATACCCTTGTGAGTATCAAGGTGCTGGATCACAAAGGAGTACCAGAAGCTGTACAGTAGCTCTGTGGTGTGACAGGACATTATGCAAGGTTGTTGGGACCAGTGTGGGTAACTATTGAGCTCATGGGCATGAAGAACAAACAGAAAGTATACTTAGCTGACATTGAAGACCAATGCATATTAGGATTGGACTATCTACTACAGAGGAAATGTGTAGTTAATTCTGATAAAAT